GGCAAGTACAGCCCTGATATCAGTTGGCAAACTGTTCGGCCTCCGACCGCAAGGCACTACAGAGGGTAGTGCGTACGGCCCAGTACATCACTGGGGCCAAGCTTCCTGTCATCCAGGACCTCTGTACCAGGCGGGTGTCAGAGGAAAGCCCTAAAAATGTTCAAAGACTCCAGCCACCCTGGTCATAGACTGTTCTCTCTGCTACCACACAGACAACAGCACAAAGGGCAAAAAGGTAAAGACAACAATACATCACACGAAGCACAACTGTCAGTAAGAGTGTCCATGATTGAGTCTTTGAATGAAGACATGGAGATAAAACTGTCCAGTTGGAGTGTTTTTTGCAGCTCGTTCCAGTCGCTAGCTGCAGCGAACTGAAAAGAGGAGCGACCCATGGATGTGTGTGCTTTGGGGACCTTTAATAATGTGACTGTCAGAACGGGTGTTGTATGTGGAGGATGAGGGCTGCAGTAGGTATCTCAGATAGGGGGGAGTGAGGCCTAAGATGGTATTATAAATAAGCATCAACCAGTGGGTCTTGTGACGGGTATACAGAGATGACCAGTTTACAGAGGAGTATAGAGTGCTGTGATGTGTCCTATAAGGAGCATTGGTGGCAAATCTGATGGCCGAATGGTAAAGAACATCTAGCCGCTCGAGAGCACCCTTACCTGCCGATCTATAAATTACGTCTCTGTAATCTAGCATGGGTAGGATGGTCATCTGAATCAGGGTTAGTTTGGCAGCTGGGGTGAAACAGGAGCGATTACGATAGAGGAAGTCTAGATTGAACCTTAGCCTGCAGCTTTGATATGTGCTGAGAGAAGGACAGTGTACCGTCTAGCCATACTCCCAAGGACTTGTATGAGGTGACTACCTCAAGCTCTAAACCCTCAGAGGTAGTAATCACACCGGTGGGGAGAGGGGCATTCTTCTTACCAAACCACATGACCTTTGTTTTGGAGGTGTTCAGAACAAGGTTAAGGGCAGAGAAAGCTTGTTGGCCACTAAGAAAGCTTTGTTGTAGAGCGTTTAACACAATATCCGGGGAGGGGCCAGCTGAGTATAAGACTGTATCATCTGCATATAAATGGATGAGAGAGCTTCCTACTGCCTGAGCTATGTTGTGATGTAAATTGAGAAGAACGTGGGGCCTAGGATGGAGCCTTGGGGTTCTCCCTTGGTGACAGGCAGTGGCTGAGACAGCAGACGTTCTGACTTTATACACTGCACTCTTTGAGAGAGGTAGTTAGCAAATCAGACTAAAGACCCCTCAGAGACACCAATACTCCTTAGCCGGCCCACAAGGATGGAATGGTCTACCGTAACAAAAGCTTTGGCCAAGTCAATAAAAATGGCAGCACAACATTGCTTAGAATCAAGGGAAATGGTGACATCATTTAGGACCTTTAAGGTTGCAGTGACACATCCATAACCTGAGTGGAAACCAGATTGCATACCAGAGAGAATACTATAGACATCAAGAAAGCCAGTCAGTTCATTATTGACAAGTTTTTCCAACACTTTTGATAAACAGGGCAAAATAGAAATTGGCCTATGACAATTAGGATCAGCTTGATCTCCCCCTTTAAATAAAGGACGCACGGTGACTGCCTTCCAAGCAATGGGAACCTCCCCAGAGAGGAGAGACAGGTTAAAGGTCAGAGACAGGCTTGGTGATGATAGGGGCTGCAACCTTAAAGAAGAAAGGGTCCAAACCATCTGACCCAGATGTTTTTTTGGGGTCAAGTTTAAGGAGCTCCTTTAGCACCTCAGACTCAGTGACTGCCTGCAGAGAGAAACTTTGTTGTGGGGGAAAAAGAGGGAGGAGTGTCGGGGCTAGTTGCACTTGTTCTCAACTGGCTTACCTGGTTAAATAAAGGTTAAAAAAATAAAAAATTAGAAGGGCTGGTAGATTAGGAAATGTTGGACGGGCAAGGAGGCATGAATGAGTCCAATAGGAATCCTGACTTAATGAAGTGGTGATTAAAGAGCTCAGCCATGTGCTCCTTGTCAGTAACAACCACATCATCAACATTAAGGGACATGGGCAGCTGTGAGGAGGAGGGTTTATTCTCCAGGTCTTTAACCGTTTTCCAGAACTTCTTGGGGTTCGACCCACAGAGAGAGAACTGCTCCTTAAAGTAACTAACTTTGGCCTTCCGGATAGCCTGAGTGCAGATAGACTTTGATTTTACTGTGGTCTGAGAGAGGTGTTAGTGGGCTGACTGTGAAGGCTCTGAGAGTCTCTGGGTTGAGGTCGGTGACAAAGTAGTCTACAGTACTGCTGCCAAGGGATGAGCTGTAGGTGTACCTACCAAAAGAGTCCCCTCTTAGCCTACCATTGACTATGTACAGACCCAGTGTTCGACAGAGCTTCAGGAGCTGTGCTCCATTTTTGTTTTTCACTTTGTCATAGTCGTTTCTGGGGTGGTATGTGGGGTGGGAAAAGTTGTTGCTTCCCGGTAGGTGTTTGTCCCCATGACTGTTAATAGTGTCTAGTTCTTCTGCTGTTCTAGCATTCAGGTCTCCACAGACCAGCACATTGCCTTGGGCCTGAAAGTGACTAATCTCCCCCTCTAGAATAGAGAAACTCTTCATTGAAGTAGGGTGACTCTGATGGGGGAATGTATGTGGCGCAGAGGAAGACGTTTCTATCTGTTAAGATAGCCTCCTTGTTGATTTTTAACCAGATAAAGAATTTTCCTGTTTTGATCAATTCGATTGAATTAGTTAGTTCAGATTTATACCATATTAGCATTCCCCCTGAGTCTCTGCCCTGTGTGATTCCTTTTAATTTGGTGGATGGTAGGATTATCTCGCTATAACCTAGTGGACAGCCAGTGGAAACATCACCTCTGCACCATGTTTCCTGTAGTACTACAATATCAACACCATCAATTTATTTTAGGAAGTCTGGGTTTCTGCTCTTTAGCTCAAAAGCAGAGGACTTCAATCCTTGTAAATTCCAACATGCAACGTAAAAAGATTTCATAACTGTTTTTTCTTTACCTTCAAAATGAGATAAACACTCACAATCCAACAAGAACTATTAAAATAGGATTTTTCAATTAACGTAAACTCTTATTATGCAAATGTTATTTGTTTATAATTTAAGATGGCATTTGTGTCATACCACTTGGGTGGATGTAGTATGAGGATGGTGGAGTTCTTGTGCTCATCTTGCCATGACCCTCGGCCTATCACATTTGAGCATAGTAGATTAAGCATGTGTTTGATGTCACTCATTTTGTTGGTGGGGGCTGGGCCAGTTGCTCCTCTCACAGCTTGTGCGTAGCTCTGCCTGCCGGGCTGTGGCTCCTCCAGGTGTGGGTCTGCGGTGGGGGAGAGGGGGTGGTAGGCCTCGTCTGGGTGGGTCTGAAGCTGGGATGGGGTGATCTGTGCTGTGCTGGCTATTCAGTGTAACAGACAGAGGATACTGACTAGGGATCCCCCTTTCCTTTCCCCAGTCGGTCCTGATATTCCCTACAGTATAACAGACAGAGGATACTGACTAGGGATCCCCCTTTCCTTTCCACAGTCGGTCCTGATATACGTGTTAAGGTTAGGATGAAGGTACGGATTAAGGTACGGGTTAGGTTAGGGTTAGGGTTAAGGTACGGGTTAGGGTACGGGTTAAGGTACGGGTTAAGGTTAGGGTTAGGGTACGGGTTAAGGTACGGGTTAAGGTTAGGGTTAAGGTACGGGTTAGGGTACGGGTTAAGGTACGGGTTAAGGTACGGGTTAAGGTACGGGTTAAGGTTAGGGTTAAGGTACGGGTTAAGGTACGGGTTAAGGTACGGGTTAGGGTTAAGGTACAGGTTAGGGTTAAGGTACGGGTTAGGGTTAAGGTACGGGTTAGGGTTAAGGTACGGGTTAGGGTACGGGTTAAGGTACGGGTTAAGGTTAGGGTTAAGGTACGGGTTAGGGTACGGGTTAAGGTACGGGTTAGGGTTAAGGTACGGGTTAGGGTTAAGGTACGGGTTAGGGTTAAGGTACGGGTTAGGGTACGGGTTAAGGTACGGGTTAAGGTTAGGGTTAAGGTACGGGTTAGGGTACGGGTTAAGGTACGGGTTAGGGTTAAGGTACGGGTTAGGGTTAAGGTACGGGTTAGGGTTAAGGTACGGGTTAAGGTACGGGTTAGGGTACGGGTTAAGGTACAGGTTAGGGTTAAGGTACGGGTTAAGGTACGGGTTAGGATACGGGTTAGGGTACGGGTTAAGGTACGGGTTAAGGTACGGGTTAAGGTACGGGTTAGGGTTAAGGTACGGGTTAGGGTACGGGTTAAGGTACGGGTTAAGATTAGGGTTAAGGTACGGGTTAGGGTACGGGTTAAGGTACGGGTTAGGGTTAAGGTACAGGTTAGGGTTAAGGTACGGGATAGGGTTAAGGTACGGGTTAGGGTACGGGTTAAGGTTAGGGTTAAGGTACGGGTTAGGGTACGGGTTAAGGTACGGGTTAAGGTACGGGTTAAGGTACGGGTTAAGGTACGGGTTAGGGTACGGGTTAAGGTTAGGGTTAAGGTACGGGTTAGGGTATGGGTTAAGGTTAGGGTTAAGGTACGGGTTAGGGTACGGGTTAAGGTACGGGTTAAGGTACGGGTTAGGGTTAAGGTACGGGTTAGGGTTAAGGTACGGGTTAGGGTTAAGGTACGGGTTAGGGTTAAGGTACGGGTTAAGGTAAGGGTTAAGGTTAGGGTCAGGGTTAGGTAGGGGACAAATTCTTAACCCCAAGTGGGTGTTAAGTGTGCACGGGCACAGGGGCTATATATATCCTCCTTTATGTTTTAATGAAAAAAATTAGTAGGATCCCAAAAACGGGAAGGGAAGGTTTTTATTTTTTATGTTTTTTTATGTTTTTTTAGGCATCGGTGCCACTGAGGTTAAGGTTAGGGTTAGGGTTAGGGTTAGGGTTAGGTTTAGGGTCAGGGTTAGGGTTAAGCTACGGGTTAGGGTTAGGGTTAAGGTTAGGTTTAGGGTCAGGGTTAGGGTTAAGGTACGGGTTAAGGTACGGGTTAAGGTTAAGGTTAGGGTTAAGGTTAGGGTTAAGGTACGGGTTAAGGTTAGGGTTAAGGTTAAGGTACGGGTTAAGGTACGGGTTAAGGTTAGGGTTAAGGTACGGGTTAGGGTTAAGGTTAGGGTTAAGGTTAGGGTTAAGGTACGGGTTAGGGTTAAGGTACGGGTTAAGGTACGGGTTAAGGTTAGGGTTAAGGTACGGGTTAAGGTACGGGTTACGGTTAGGGTTAAGGTTAGGGTTAAGGTACGGGTTAGGGTTAAGGTACGGGTTAAGGTTAGGGTTAAGGTTAGGGTTAGGGTTAAGGTTAGGGTTAAGGTACGGGTTAAGGTTAGGGTTAAGGTTAGGGTTAAGGTACGGGTTAAGGTAGAGACAACAATACATCATGCAAAGCCTAACCCTGGGTTAATCTGTTGGCCAACCCTAACCTAATCCTGGGTTAATCTGTTGGTCAACCCTAACCTAACCCTGGGTTAATCTGTTGGCCAACCCTAACCTAACCCTGGGTTAATCTGTTGGCCAACCCTAACCTAATCCTGGGTTTATCTGTTGGCCAACCCTAACCTAATCCTGGGTTAATCTGTTGGCCAACCCTAACCTAACCCTGGGGTTATCGGTTGGCCAACCCTAGCCTAACCCTGGGTTTATCTGTTGGCCAACCCTAACCTAACCCTGGGTTTATCTGTTGGCCAACCCTAACCTAACCCTGGGTTTATCTATTGGCCAATTTTAACCTAATCCTGGGTTTACGCCACCACAGGGCTGCAGTGTCCATGCTGTACAGATTGACCAATCAGGTGAGATTGGTGTCATCTGTCATGGTCGTCAGGGCAACTAGTGGTTGTGAGGGAGGTGTCTCCATGGTGATATGGCTTCAGTGTTCCATCTGTCTCTGGTTCTTCCTCTGGCCTCCAGCAGGTAAGACCTGACTACACACACACTAATCGAACTCTGATTAAGACAGATTCACTCAGGCTAATTTACACTCTCACTAATTGTGTGTGTGTGTGCGCCTGTTTGTTTGCGTCTGTGTTTGTGTGTCTGTTTGTGTGTATGTGTGTGTGTGTGTGTGTATGTATGTGTCAGGGTGTCTCTCCCCTCCTCAGAATGTGTCTGTAGAGTTTCTGGACTTCCACGGGACAGTCCACTGGCTGGCCGGAGCTGACAACACCAACCATGCCCACTACTCTGTAGAGATACAAGCACTCAGGTCAGTGGCAGGGTTTCAGTGTGTGTGTGTGTGTGTGTCTGTGTCTGTGTCTGTCTGTCTGTCTGCCTGCCTGCCTGCCTGCCTGCCTGCCTCTGTGCCTGTCTGCCTGCCTGCCTCTGTGCCTGTCTGCCTGCCTGCCTCTGTGCCTGCCTGCCTGCCTGCCTGCCTGCCTGCCTGCCTGCCTGCCTGCCTGCCTCTGTGCCTGTCTGCCTGCCAGCCTGCCTGCCTGCCTGCCTGCCTGCCTGCCTCTGTGCCTGTCTGTCTGCCTGCCTTCCTCTGTGCCTGTCTGCCTGTCTGCCTGCCTCTGTGCCTGTCTGCCTGCCTGCCTGCCTCTGTGCCTGTCTGCCTGCCTCTGTGCCTGTCTGCCTGCCTCTGTGCCTGTCTGCCTGCTGCCTGCCTCTGTGCCTGTCTGCCTGTCTGCCTGCCTCTGTGCCTGTCTGCCTGCGTGTGGTTGGATGGCTGGATGGTTGGATTGTTGGATGGCTGGTTGGATGAAAGAGAGAAAGAGAGAGAGAGTGAAGGAGAGTGAAGGAGGAGGAGTGATGATGTGTCCTCTTGTGATGTAGTGAGTCATGGTGGCAACCCGGTAACTGCAGCAACCCCGTTGCCATGGCGTGCCCCCTGGACATTCCACTGACCTGCCTTTTAAAGAATTACAACGTCAGAGTGAGGGCGGAGCTAGGAGAGCAGACGTCAGCCTGGAAATACCTGGAAGCCACAGTACAGCCCTGGGCAGACAGTAAGACACAGTACAGCCCTGGGCAGACAGTAAGACACAGTACAGCCCTGGGCAGACAGTAAGACACACAGTACAGCCCTGGGCAGACAGTAAGACACAGTACAGCCCTGGGCAGACAGTAAGACACAGTACAGCCCTGGGCAGACAGTAAGACCACAGTACAGCCCTGGGCAGACAGTAAGACACACAGTACAGCCCTGGGCAGACAGTAAGACACAGTACAGCCCTGGGCAGGACAGTAAGACACAGTACAGCCCTGGGCAGACAGTTAAGACACAGTACAGCCCTGGGCAGACAGTAAGACACAGTACAGCCCTGGGCAGACAGTAAGACACACAGTACAGCCCTGGGCAGACAGTAAGACACAGTACAGCCCTGGGCAGACAGTAAGACACACAGTACAGCCCTGGGCAGACAGTAAGACACAGTACAGCCCTGGGCAGACAGTAAGACACAGTACAGCCCTGGGCAGACAGTAAGACACAGTACAGCCCTGGGCAGACAGTAAGACACAGTACAGCCCTGGGCAGACAGTAAGACACAGTACAGCCCTGGGCAGACAGTAAGACACAGTACAGCCCTGGGCAGACAGTAAGACACAGTACAGCCCTGGGCAGACAGTAAGACACAGTACAGCCCAGCCCTGGGGCAGACAGTAAGACACACAGTACAGCCCTGGGCAGACAGTAAGACCACAGTACAGCCCTGGGCAGACAGTAAGACACAGTACAGCCCTGGGGACACAGTACAGCCCTGGGCAGACAGTAAGACACAGTACAGCCCTGGGCAGACAGTAGACACAGTACAGCCCTGGGCAGACAGTAAGACACACCAGTACAGCCCTGGGCAGACAGTAAGACACAGTACAGCCCTGGGCCAGACAGTAAGGACACAGTACAGCCCTGGGCAGACAGTAACACACAGTACAGCCTGGGCAGACAGTAAGACACAGTTACAGCCCTGGGCAGACAGTTAAGACCACACAGTACAGCCCTGGGCAGACAGTAAGACACAGTACAGCCATGGGCAGACAGTTAAGACACAGTACAGCCCTGGGCAGACAGTAAGACACAGTACAGCCCTGGGCAGACAGACAGTAAGACACACAGTACAGCCCTGGGCAGACAGTAAGAGATTAACCTAAATGCTAACTGTGTGTGTGTGTGTGTGTGTGTGTGTGTGTGTGTGTGTGTGTGTGTGTGTGTGTGTGTGTGTGTGTGTGTGTTGTGTGTGTGTGTGTGTGTGTGTGGTGTGTTGTGTGTGTGTGTGTGTGTGCAGCAGTGTTTGAGTGCCCCCGGTCTGAAGTTGAAGGTGGAGAACCAGAGTGTATTTGTGTCGCTGCGCCATCCTTCTCAGAACATCTTCAAACTCTACAACATCACACTGCTGCAGATCGCACAACATCACAATACCACGGTGAGACCACAACATCACAATACCACGGTGAGACCACAACATCACAATACCACGGTGAGACCACAACATCACAATACCACGGTGAGACCACAGCAACACAATACCACGGTGAGACCACAACATCACAATACCACGGTGAGACCACAACATCACAATACCACGGTGAGACCACAACATCACAATACCACGGTGAGACCACAGCAAACACAATACCACGGTGAGCCCACAAGGCAACACAATACCACGGTGAGGACCACAACATCACAATACCACGGTGAGACCACAGCAACACAATACCACGGTTTGAGACCACAACATCACAATACCACGGTTGATTGCGGACCACAACATCACAATAACCACGGTTGAGGACCACAGCAACACAATACCAACGGTGAGACCACAACAACACAATACCCGGGTGAGACCACAACATCACAATACCACGGCGTAAGACCACAGCAACACAATAACCACGGTTGAGACCACAACATCCCAATCACACGGTGAGACCACAACATCACAAACTACCCTACGGTGAGAACCACAATCATCACAATTTACCACGGTGGCTGAGACCACACCCATCAACAATACCACGGTTGAGACAACAACATCGACAATACCACGGTGAGACCACAGCAACACAACTACCAACGGTGAGGACCCACAGCAACATCACAATACCACCGGTTGAGACCACAACATTCACAAATACCACGGTTGAGGACCACCAACATCACAATCACACGGTTGAGACCACAACATCACAAATACCACGGGTGAGACCACAACATCACAATACCACGGTGAGACCACAAACATCACAATACCACGGTGAGACCACAACATCACAATACCACGGTGAGACCACAACATCACACAATACCACGGTGAGACCACACACTCACAAACATCACCAATACCACGGTGAGACCACAACAGCACAATACCACGGTGAGACCACAACATCACACAGCAACACAATACCACGGTGAGACCACAACATCACAATACCATGGTGAGACCACAACATCACAATACCACGGTGAGACCACAACATCACACAGCAACACAATACCACGGTGAGACCACAACAATCACAATACCACGGTGAGACCACAACATCACAATACCACGGTGAGACCACAACATCACACAACATCACAATACCACGGTGAGACCACAACATCACAATACCACGGTGAGACCACAACATCACAATACCACGGTGAGACCACAACCACATCCACACAGCAACACAATACCACGGTGAGACCACAACATCACAATACCACGGTGAGACCACAACATCACACAACCATCACAATACCCACGGTGAGACCACAACATCACAATACCACGGTGAGACCACAACATCACAATACCACGGTTGAGACCACAACATCACACAGCAACACAATACCACGGTGAGACCACAACATCACAATACCAACGGTGAGACCACAACATCACAATACCACGGTGAGACCACAACATCACACAGCAACACAATACCACGGTGAGACCACAACATCACAATACCACGGTGAGACCACAACATCACACTGCTGCAGATCACACAGCAACACAATACCACGGTGAGACCACAACATCACAATACCACGGTGAGACCACAACATCACAATACCACGGTGAGACCACAACATCACACAGCAACACAATACGACGGTGAGACCACAACATCACAATACCACGGTGAGACCACAACATCACAATACCACGGTGAGACCACAAACATCACAATACCACGGTGAGACCACAACATCACACAGCAACACAATACCACGGTGAGACCACAACATCACAATACCACGGTGAGACCACAACATCACAATACCACGGTGAGACCACAACATCACACAGCAACACAATACCACGGTGAGACCACAACATCACAATACCACGGTGAGACCACAACATCACACAGCAACACAATACCACGGTGAGACCACAACATCACAATACCACGGTGAGACCACAACATCACACAGCAACACAATACCACGGTGAGACCACAACATCACAATACCACGGTGAGACCACAACATCACAATACCACGGTGAGACCACAACATCACACAGCAACACAATACCACGGTGAGACCACAACATCACACAGCTGCAGATCACACAGCAACACAATACCAAGGTGAGACCACAACATCACACAGCAACACAATACCAAGGTGAGACCACAACATCACACAGCAACACAATACCACGGTGAGACCACAACATCACACTGCTGCAGATCACACAACATCACAATACCACGGTGAGACCACAACATCACACTGCTGCAGATCACACAACATCACAATACCACGGTGAGACCACAACATCACACTGCTGCAGATCACACAACATCACAATACCACGGTTGAGACCACAACATCACACTGCTGCAGATCACACAACATCACAATACCACGGTGAGACCACAACATCACACAGCAAACACAATACCACGGTGAGACCACAACATCACACAGCAACACAATACCACGGTGAGACCACAACATCGCACAGCAACACAATACCACGGTGAGACCACAACATCACACTGCTGCAGATCACACAGCAACAAAATACCACGGTGAGACCACAACATCGCACAGCAACACAATACCACGGTGAGACCACAACATCACACTGCTGCAGATCACACAGCAACACAATACCACGGTGAGACCACAACATCGCACAGCAACACAATACCACGGTGAGACCACAACATCACACTGCTGCAGATCACACAGCAACACAATACCACGGTGAGACCACAACATCACACAGCAACACAATACCACGGTGAGACCACAACATCACACAGCAACACAATACCACGGTGAGACCACAACATCACAATACCACGGTGAGACCACAACATCGCACTGCTGCAGATCGCACAGCAACACAATACCACGGTGAGACCACAACATCACAATACCACGGTGAGACCACAACATCGCACTGCTGCAGATCGCACAGCAACACAATACCACGGTGAGACCACAACATCACAATACCACGGTGAGACCACAACATCACACTGCTGCAGATCGCACAGCAACACAATACCACGGTGAGACCACAACATCACACAGCAACACAATACCACGGTGAGACCACAACATCGCACAGCAACACAATACCACGGTGAGACCACAACATCGCACAGCAACACAATACCACGGTGAGACCACAACACACACTGCTGCAGATCACACAACATCACAATACCACGGTGAGACCACAACATCACACTGCTGCAGATCACACAACATCACAATACCACGGTGAGACCACAACATCACACTGCTGCAGATCACACAACATCACAATACCACGGTGAGACCACAACATCACACTGCTGCAGATCACACAACATCACAATACCACGGTGAGACCACAACATCACACTGCTGCAGATCACACAACATCACAATACCACAGTGAGACCACAACATCACACAGCAACACAATACCACGGTGAGACCACAACGTCGCACAGCAACACAATACCACGGTGAGACCACAACATCACACAGCAACACAATACCACGGTGAGACCACAACATCGCACAGCAACACAATACCACGGTGAGACCACAACGTCGCACAGCAACACAATACCACGGTGAGACCACAACGTCGCACAGCAACACAATACCACGGTGAGACCACAACATCACACAGCAACACAATACCACGGTGAGACCACAACACACACAGCAACACAATACCACGGTGAGACCACAACATCACAATACCACGGTGAGACCACAACATCGCACAGCAACACAATACCACGGTGAGACCACAACATCACACAGCAACACAATACCACAGTGAGACCACAACATCACAATACCACGGTGAGACCACAACATCACAATACCACGGTGAGACCACAACATCACAATACCACGGTGAGACCACAACATCACACAGCAACACAATACCACGGTGAGACCACAACATCACAATACCACGGTGAGACCACAACATCGCACAGCAACACAATACCACGGTGAGACCACAACATCACAATACCACGGTGAGACCACAACGTCGCACAGCAACACAATACCACGGTGAGACCACAACATCACACAGCAACACAATACCACAGTGAGACCACAACATCACAATACCACGGTGAGACCACAACGTCGCACAGCAACACAATACCACGGTGAGACCACAACATCACAATACCACGGTGAGACCACAACATCACACAGCAACACATACCACGGTGAGACCACAACATCACACAGCAACACAATACCACGGTGAGACCACAACATCACACAGCAACACAATACCACGGTGAGACCACAACATCACACAGCAACACAATACCACGGTGAGACCACAACGTCGCACAGCAACACAATACCACGGTGAGACCACAACGTCGCACAGCAACACAATACCACGGTGAGACCACAACACACACACACACACACACACACACACACCCCAAAATCATGCAAAATGAAGTGTTTTCAACAGGGTCCTTGTTGATGTGTGTGTAGGTTCTATCCGACGTTGAGTCGGGCTCAAAGAGAGAGTTCTCCCTCCTCCCTCCAGACCACACCTACTGCATCTTGGCCTCAGCCAATCACTACAGCCTACGCCGTCACATGACTGGTGAGAGGTGTGTCAAACTGCCAGGTACACACTCACACACAGCCCACCTCTACACACACACACACTCACACACAGCCCACCTCTACACACACACACACACTCACACACAGCCCACCTCTACACACACACACACTCACACACAGCCCACCTCTACACACACACACACTCACACACAGCCCACCTCTACACACACACACACACACACAGCCCACCTCTACACACACACACACTCACACACAGCCCACCTCTACACACACACACACAGTTCAGTTCTCATTGTAATTCATTGTAAATCTCATTGTAATTCAGTTTAGTCACATGATTTCTCAATTTTCAGTACGTTTGCCAATCGGTTGTGCTGCCAGACTTATTTGCCATTCCTTTTGCCTCATCCCTCTCAACCAAACCATTTTTCAATTCCTCATCAATCCATGGGGATTTAACAGTTTTTACAGTCATTTTCTTTAATGGGTGCATGCTTATTAGTAATTGGAATAAGCAATTTCATAAATGTGTAAAGTGCAGCGTCTGGTTGCTCCTCATTACACACCACAGACCAACTAATATTCTTTACATCAACAACGTATGAATCATGTTGGTCCTCTGTAGCTCAGCAGGTAGAGCACGGCGCTTGTAACGCCAGGGTAGTGGGTTCGATCTCCGGGACCACCCATACACAAAAAAAAAATATGTATGCACGCATGACTAAGTCGCTTTGGATAAAAGCATCTGCTAAATGGCATATTATTATTATATTGTAATCACTACATCTGATGGATTTGGATACTGCTCTAAAGCAAATTTCTGTAGCATTAGTAAAGATGTGATCAATACATGTTGATGATTTCATTGCTATGCTGTTTGTAACTGCCCTGGTAGGTTGACTGATTGTCACGATCGTCATATTGAACAGACCAAGGCGCAGGGTGATGAACGAACATACTTTAATTAGTTAAAGTGTAAACACGATACAAAAACAAGAAACGACTCGTGAAGTCCACGGTAACAATGACCGAACACGGAACAAGAACCCACAAACACAAAGGGAAAATAGACAGTATAAATATGGCTCCCAATCAGAGACAACCAACGACAGCTGACACTCGTTGCCTCTGATTGGGAGTCACTCTAGCCAACATAGAAATAAACACAACAGAATTACCAACATAGAAATAAACACAAAGAATGAACACACCCTGGCTCAACATATAGAGTCCCAGAGCCAGGGTGTGACACTGATAACCTGAACCAGGTGGTAGGCACTAGTTACAGTTTGAAGCTTTCTCTTGAGTGGGCAGCTTGATGAAAGCCAGTCAATATTTAAATCACCCAGAAAATATACCTCTCTGTTGATATCACATACATTATCAAGCATTTCACACATGTTATCCAGATACTGACTGTTAGCACTTGGTGGTCTATAGCAGCTTCCCACCAGAATGGGCTTTAGGTGAGGCAGATGAACCTGTAGTCTTATTACTTCAACAGTATTTAACATGAGATCCTCTCTAAGCTTTACAGGAATGTGGTTCTGAATATAAACAGCCACACCTCCACCTTTGGCATTTCTGTATTTTCTGTAGATGTTATAACCTTGTATTGCTACCACTGTATCATCAAAGGAATTATTTAAGTGAGTTTCAGAGATCGTCAGAATATGAATGTAATCTGTTACTAGCAAATTATTGATTTCATGAACATTGTTTCTTAAGCTACATATGTTAAAGTGGGCTATTTGTAACACTTTTCTGTGATGCTTGATTGTTTTTCTTGCTTTACTGGGAAGCTTAGCAGAGGTAGACATACTCAGGTTATTTATGTTAGTGCACGGTGAGCTGCACACAGTGGACTTCCAGCTAGGGCACACCACTTCAGTGCTAACAGTATAACTCTGGTTCATAGGCATATGATTACTGCATACAATAGCTGTAGGATCAGCAGAGGCATTCCTGGCAGTAAGAGGGACATAAATTAGGTTACTGACATTGTGTCTGCCAACGCCCCTGGGATAATCTACATTTGCTGAAGCATTATAACAACACAGCGACACAATGGTAGGGATTAACTGAGCTGGGCTTGGGTCATTGATAAGTCATTGTCTCAAAGCAGCCATATAATGCTGTGAAAGGATCCAGGAACCCAAATTATTTGGGTGGATCCCATCCTCCTTATAAAATGAGTTTTGTTTCCAGAAGGAATCAAAATTGTCAATAAATGTTACACCCACAGAGCTGCAATAGTCTCGTAGCCAGTTATGGAAGCTAAAAGTCTACTGAACCTTTCAATGCCATGATTTAGGGAGAGCAGAGGGCCAGATATTATGGGGTGTAGTTTCAGATTGATCAAACTGTTTAAGACTGAAAAGAGCTTCATTAGATTAAACTGTTTCCTTCCTTCTGTGCGTGCGTGCGCGCGTGTGTGTGTGTGTGTGTGTGTCCAGGTCAGCCAAGCCTGGTGGGCGTGACTGTGGGCGTGACTGTGGGCGTTCTGCTCCTGCTGCTGGCTGTTCTGATTTGTCTGATCGCTGTGAGACGCTACTTCCTGAGGAGCACAGACCCCCCTCCCACAGCTCTGGTACCTACCTGCTAAACCTTAATAATAATATCTGTGTCTGTATGCAACAAGATCTCATTGTTTCACATCGAAATTTGACGTACTATGGACAAAAGTCCATTTCTTAGGACTGCAGGTTTTGAGGGTTCGACAGTTAACAGTTTAGGTGCCAACTGGTTAAGATTAGGGCTAAGGTTTGAGATAGTGTTAAAAAATATATATACATTTAGGGAAAAAAGTATTTGATTCCCTGCTGATTTTTTACGTTTGCCGACTGACAAAGACATGATCAGTCTATATTTTTAATAGTAGGTTTATTTGAACAGTTAGAGACAGAATAACAACAAAAAAATCCAGAAAAACGCATGTCAAAAAATGTTATAATTTGATTTGCATTTTAATGAGGGAAATAAGTATTTGACCCCTCTGCAAAACATGACTTAGTACATGGTGGCAAAACCCTTGTTGGCAATCACAGAGGTCAGACGTTTCTTGTAGTTGGCCACCAGGTTTGCACTCATCTCAGGAGGGATTTTGTCCCACTCCTCTTTGCAGATCTTCTCCAAGTCATTAACGTTTCGAGCCTGACGTTTGGCAACTCGAACCTTCAGCTCCCTCCACAGATTTTCTATGGGATTAAGGTCTGGAGACTGGCTAGGCCACTCCAGGACCTTAATGTTCTTCTTCTTGAGCCACTCCTTTGTTGCCTTGGCCGTGTGTTTTGGGTCACTGTCATGCTGGAATATCCATCCACGACCCATTTTCAATGCCCTGGCTGAGGGAAGGAGGTTCTCAAGATTTGACGGTACATGGCCCCGTCCATCGTCCCTTTGATGCGGTGAAGTTGTCCTGTCCCCTTAGCAGAAAAACACCCCCAAAGCATAATGTTTCCACCTCCATGTTTGACAGTGGGGATGGTGTTCTTGGGGTCATAGGCAGCATTCCTCCTCCTCCAAACACGGCGAGTTGAGTTGATGCCAAAGAGCTCGATTTTGGTCTCATCTGACCACAACACTTTCACCCAGTTCTCCTCTGAATCATTCAGATATTCATTGGCAAACTTCAGACGGGCAGTATATGTGCTTTCTTGAGCAGGGGGACCTTGCGGGCGCTGCAGGATTTCAGTCCTTCACGGCGTAGTGTGTTACCAATTGTTTTCTTGGTGACTATGGTCCCAGCTGCCTTGAGATCATTGACAAGATCCTCCCGTGTAGTTCTGGGCTGATTCCTCACCGTTCTCATGATCATTGCAACTCCACGAGGTGAGATCTTGCATGGAGCCCCAGGCCGAGGGAGATTGACAGTTCTTTTGTGTTTCTTCCATTTGCGAATAATTGCACCAACTGTTGTCACCTTCTCACCAAGCTGCTTGGCGATGGTCTTGTAGCCCATTCCAGCCTTGTTTAGGTCTACAATCCTGTCCCTGACATCCTTGGAGAGCTCTTTGGTCTTGGCCATGGTGGAGAGTTTGGAATCTGATTGATTGATTGCTTCTGTCGACAGGTGTCTTTTATACAGGTAACAAGCTGAGATTAGGAGCACTCCCTTTAAGAGTGTGCTCCTAATCTCAGCTCGTTACCTGTATAAAAGACACCTGGGAGACAGAAATCTTTCTGATTGAGAGGGGGTCAAATACTTATTTCCCTCATTAAAATGCAAATCAATTTATAACATTTTTGACATGCGTTTTTCTGGATTTTGATGTTGTTATTCTGTCTCTCACTGTTCCAATAAACCTACCATTAAAATTATGTCAGTGGACAAACGTACAAAATCAGCAGGGGATCAAATACTTTTTTCCCTCACTGTATATATACACATGTTTACATCAAGTAGTCTAGTGGCCTCGAGTTGTCAATGGTGATGGCTTAATGGAGTAAGCTGCTGCCTATGGCTCTGAGGTTTGTGGGTTTGATTCCAGTGCTAATCAGTCTTGCTTCATTTTTTGGGTGAGCGCAAAATCAGCGGTCAGTTTTCAATGTTTGGGGGACCTGGACAAACGTCTAATATTGAAGTCCACATTTAGTGATCTCCCTGGTGTGTGCATGCATGTTTGTGTGTTAACTCTGTCTCGGTGTGTTTGTATGTGTGTGTTTGTGTGTGTGCAGGGTTTGTGTGTGCGTTCAGCAGGGTGCGTGATGACTCCGGAGAAGGTGGGGTGTGTCCCAGTGATGTGGGTAGAGCCAGAGAGCTGTGGGACTGCCCCCTCTGGTTACCAGGATTACCTGCTGAGAGCCGTCGTTACATTTCACCTTGACGACCGCCTGGAGACAGATACCCTCCTACCACATTCAGATATAGGAACCCCTCGAACAGTCACCCTACTGACCCTGTCTCCCTCCTCTCCCTCCTCTCCCTCCTCTCCCCCCCGCTCTGACTATAGTCTGGCCTGGGACAGTGTATCCAGCCAGAGCGACACAGGGACACACACAGACAGAACTACTAACATAACTACAGACATAACTATGGACATAACTACTGACAGAACTATGGACATAACTACTGACATAACTACAGACAGAACTATGGACATAACTACTGACATAACTACAGACAGAACTACTAACAGAACTACAGACAGAACTATGGACATAACTACTGACAGAACTACAGACAGAACTACTAACATAACTACAGACAGAACTATGGACATAACTACTGACATAACTACTAACATAACTACTAACATAACTACTGACATAACTACAGACAGAACTATGGACAGAACTACAGACAGAACTATGGACAGAACTACAGACATAACTATGGACATAACTACAGACAGATGGGACAGCAGGTCCCAGCAGTCTCCGGATAGACAATCTGACTGTAAGCTGTATTCTCCTGAGATAGAGGTCAGGGGTCAGGGGTTGGGTTTAGAGGTTACAGGTCAGGGGTTGGGTTTAGAGGTTACAGGTCAGGGGTTGGGTTTAGAGGTTACAGGTCAGGGGTTGGGTTTAGAGGTTACAGGTCAGGGGTTGGGTTTAGAGGTTACAGGTCAGGGGTTGGGTTTAGAGGTTACAGGTCAGGGGTTGGGTTTAGAGGTTACAGGTCAGGGGTTGGGTTTAGAGGTTACAGGTCAGGGGTTGGGTTTAGAGGTGCATTCTCCTGGAGCCAGTCTCTGCTCCTTCAGTGAATATGAACCTCGCCCTGACCTCTAACCAGGGGTAAGGATGGCTACTTGTGTTTCTGCTGCATATATTCATTGTTATAGTATTTACCTGTTTATTTTGAGTTTATTGTTTTTAGTTCTGCCTGTCTTTCCCACCAAGGACCAATTGGTGTTGGAGCCGAACTCTTACCTTTATGTTTGATTAATATTTTCTAGGCTTTTTCAGAACTTTTACTTTGGAATGAGCACGGTAACCCCTGTCCCTGGTCAGACGTGTTGACCCCTCAGGGGGGGACTGAGGACGCACTTCACCCTCAGGGGTGAACACACCCGAACCTCAGGGGGGGTCGAGGAGGTAATGTTGTAGATGTTGTATAGGTGCAGCTGTAGAACCTGTTGAGGATCTGAGGACCCATGCCAAATCTTTTCAGTCTCCTGAGGGGGAATAGGCTTTGTCGGGCCCTCTTCACGACTGTCTTGGTCTGTTTGGACCATGATAGTTTGTTGGTGATGTGGACACCAAGGAACTTGAAGCTATCAACCTGTTCCACTACAGCCCCGTCGATGAGAATAGTCCACAATCATTTCCTTTTTCTTGATCACGTTGAGGGATATGTTGTTATCCTGGCACCAGACGGCCAGGTCTCTGACCTCCTCCTTATAGGATGTCTCATCGTTGTCAGTGATCAGGCCTACCACTGTTGTGTCGTCGGCAAACTTAATGATGGTGTTGGAGTCGTGCCTGGCCATGCAGTCATGAGTGAACAGGGAGTACAGGAGGAGACTGAGCACGCACCCCTGAGGAGCCCCCGTGTTGAGGATCAGCGTGGCAGATGTGTTGTTACCTACCCTTACCACCTGGGGGCGGCCCGTCAGGAAGTCCAGGATCCATTTGCAGAGGGAGGTGTTTAGTCCCAGGATCCTTAGCTTAGTGATGAGCTTTGAGGGCACTATGGTGTTGAACGCTGAGCTGTAGTCAATGAATAGCATTCTCACGTAGGTGTTCCTCTTGTCCAGGTGGGAAAGGGCAGTGTGGAGTGCAATAGAGATTGCATCATCTGTGGATCTGTTGGGGCGGTATGCAAATTTTGTGGGTCTAGGGTTTCTGGGATAATGGTGTTGATGTGAGCGATGACCAGCATTTCAAAGCACTTCATGGCTACAGACGTCAGTGCTACGGGTCGGTAGTCATTTAGGCAGGTTATCTTAGTGTTCTTGGGCACAGGGACTATGGTGGTCTGCTTGAAACATGTTGGTATTACAGACTCAGTCAGGGACATGTTGAAAATGTCAGTGAAGACACTTGCCAGTTGGTCAGCGCATGCTCGGAGTACACGTCCTGGTGATCTGAGTGTTGACCTGCTACAAAGTCTTACTCACATCGGCTACGGAGAGCGTGATCACGTAGTCATCCGGAACAGCTGATGCTCTCATGCATGCTTCAGTGTTGCTTGCCTCGAAGCGAGCATAGAAGTGATTTAGCTCGTCTGGTAGGCTTGTGTCACTGGTCAGCTTGCGGCTGTGCTTCCCTTTGTTGTCTGTAATCGTTTTCAAGCCCTGCCACATTCGATGAGTGTCGGAGCCGGTGTAGTACGATTCAATCTTAGTCCTGTATTGACTCTTTGCCTGTTTGATGGTTCGTCGGAGGGCATAGCGGGATTTCTTATAAGCGTCCGGGTTAGAGTCCTACTCCTTGAAAGCGGCAGCTCTACACTTTAGCTCAGTGCGGATGTTGCCTGTAATCCATGGCTTCTGGTTGGGGTATGTACGTACGGTCACTGTGGGGACGACGTCATCGATGCACTTATTGATGAAACCAGTGACTGATGTGGTGTACTCCTCAATGCTATCTGAAGAATCCCGGAACATATTCCAGTCTGTGCTAGCAAAACAGTCCTGTAGCTGAGCATCTGCGTCGTCTGACCACTTCCGTATTGAGCGAGTCACTGGTGCTTCCTGCTTTAGTTTTTGCTTATAAGCAGGACTCAGGAGGATAGAGTTGTGGTCAGATTTGCCAAATGGAGGGTGAGGGAGAGCTTTGTACGTGTCTCTGTGTGTGGAGTAAAGGTGGTCTAGAGTTTGTTTTCCTCTGGTTGCACATTTAACATGCTGGTAGAAATTAGGTAAAATGGATTTAAGTTTCCCTGCATTAAAGTCCCCGGTCACTAGGAGCGCTGCCTCTGGATGAGCGTTTTCCTGTTTACTTATGGCCTTATCCAGCCCGTTGAGTGCGGTCTTAGTGCCAGCAACGGTTTGTGGTGGTAAATAGACAGCTACGAAAAATATAGATGAAAACTCTCTTGGTAAATAGTGTGGTCTACAGCTTATCATGAGATACTCTACCTCAAGCGAGCAAAACCTCAAGACTTTCTTAGTATTAGATTTAATGCATCAGCTGTTGTTTACAAATATACACAGACCGCCACCCCTTGTCTTACCGGAGTCAGCCGTTCTATCCTGCCGATGTAGCGTATAGCCCGCTAGCTCTATGTTGTCCATGTCGTCGTTCAGCCACGACTCGGTGAAACATAAGATATTACAGTTTTTAATGTCCCGTTGGTAGGATAACCTTGATTTTAGGTCGTCTAATTTATTTTATTTTAATTTGTATATTTTTTCTTCTTCTTTTTTTTTTTTAGGGGGTATTATTTTTATTTATTTTTTATTTATATTTCTGAAACTTCCATCAATGTAATTGTCTGCATCACTTCCAATCCCCCATATGTTTTTTTTCTCTCGCAAATATATATATATATATATATATACAGTGGGGAAAAAAAGTATTTAGTCAGCCACCAATTGTGCATGTTCTCCCACTTAAAAAGATGAGAGAGGCCTGTAATTTTCATCATAGGTACATGTCAACTATGACAGACAAAATGAGAAAAGAAATTCCAGAAAATCACATTGTAGGATTTTTTATGAATTTATTTGCAAATTATGGTGGAAAATAAGTATTTGGTCAATAACAAAAGTTTCTCAATACTTTGTTATATACCCCTTGTTGGCAATGACACAGGTCAAACGTTTTCTGTAAGTCTTCACAAGGTTTTCACACACTGTTGCTGGTATTTTGGCCCATTCCTCCATGCAGATCTCCTCTAGAGCAGTGATGTTTTGGGGCTGTCACTGGGCAACACGGACTTTCAACTCCCTCCAAAGATTTTCTATGGGGTTGAGATCTGGAGACTGGCTAGGCCACTCCAGGACCTTGAAATGCTTCTTACGAAGCCACTCCTTCGTTGCCCGGGAGGTGTGTTTGGGATCATTGTCATTCTAAAAGACCCAGCCACGTTTCATCTTCAATGCCCTTGCTGATGGAAGGAGGTTTTCACTCAAAATCTCACGATACATGGCCCCATTCATTCTTTCCTTTACACGGATCAGTCGTCCTGGTCCCTTTGCAGAAAAACAGCCCCAAAGCATGAAGTTTCCACCCCCATGCTTCACAGTAGGTATGGTGTTCTTTGGATGCAACTCAGCATTCTTTGTCCTCCAAACACGATGAGTAGAGTTTTTACCAAAAAGTTATATTTTGGTTTCATCTGACCATATGACATTCTCCCAATCCTCTTCTGGATCATCCAAATGCACTCTAGCAAACTTCAGACGGGCCTGGACATGTACTGGCTTAAGCAGGGGGACACGTCTGGCAATGCAGGATTTGAGTCCCTGGCGGAGTAGTGTGTTACTGATGGTAGGCTTTGTTACTTTGGTCCCAGCTCTCTGCAGGTCATTCACTAGGTCCCCCCGTGTGGTTCTGGGATTTTTGCTCACCGTTCTTGTGATCATTTTGACCCCACGAGGTGAGATCTTGCGTGGAGCCCCTGATCGAGGGAGATTATCAGTGGTCTTGTATGTCTTCCATTTCCTAATAATTGCTCCCACAGTTGATTTCTTCAAACCAAGCTGCTTACCTATTGCAGATTCAGTCTTCCCAGCCTGGTGCAGGTCTACAATTTTGTTTCTGGTGTCCTTTGACAGCTCTTTGGTCTTGACCATAGTGGAGTTTGGAGTGTGACTGTTTGAGGTTGTGGACAGGTGTCTTTTATACTGATAACAAGTTCAAACAGGTGCCATTAATACAGGTAACGAGTGGAGGACAGAGGAGCCTCTTAAAGAAGAAGTTACAGGTCTGTGAGAGCCAGAAATCTTGCTTGTTTGTAGTTGACCAAATACTTATTTTCCACCATAATTTGCAAATAAATTCATTAAAAATCCTACAATGTGATTTTCTGGAAAAAAAATTCTCAATTTGTCTGTCATAGTTGACGTGTACCTATGATGAAAATGACAGGCCTCTCTCATCTTTTTAAGTGGGAGAACTTGCACAATTGGTGGCTGACTAAATACTTTTTTTCCCCACTGTATATATATACATACATATAAATACATATACATACACATATACATACACAT